CTCCTTCCTATATTGGTTTATGTATTTATTTGAATTTTATATTACTTATACTTATTGGAAAATAAAGTTGAAGTTGAATTTGAATTCACTTTTAACTGATTGATGATTAGCTGATTGATTGATTGATTAATTGGTTAATTTTATTGATTGATAGACTGATTGATTGATTGATGAATGGGATTCCCTTAGGTTCATTTTTTTTTCACTTACACTAAAAGCAAAGCCTGCATCCATTCCCCCAACGTCATACCAGATTGATCGACGTTTCCTCTTTCCACCATTGTACCAAAATTCCTCATAGGCGTGTTCGTCATGGGTTGAATAGCTTCCCATTTCTTGTAAAACCTCAAATTAATAGATATAACAAAACAAGTACAATATAAAAAATGGTATTTCAATTTATTCATTTTTTTATTTATCAAAGCACTTTGGAGAAACATTGATCTTTCTAATATTAACAATATTATATAATAATCAGAACAATAATAAACAAAAATAATACAAACAAAAATATATTTTATAAAAAAAATTTAAAATATTGATAACAGTATTAGTAATAATAATAGCAATATCAAAAGCAAACATTTTAACTTTTATTATTAATCAAAAGTCAATTGTGTGTATAATACCTTACGATTTTGAAAAGAAATATAAGAAATATGAATAAATAAATCTATAAATAAAATTCATAAGTGAATATGTCCATATTTATCAAAGCACTTTGGAGAAACATTGATCTTTCTAATATTAACAATAAATATATAATAATCAGAACAATAATAAACAAAAATAATACAAACAAAAATATATTTTATAAAAATAATTTAAAATATTGATAACAATATTAGTAATAATAATAGCAATATCAAAAGCAAACATTTTAACTTTTATTATTAATCAAAAGTCAATTGTGTGCATAATACATTATGATTTTGAAAAGAAATATAAGAAATATGAATAAATAAATCTATAAATAAAATTCATAAGTGAATATGTCCATATTCCAGAAAAAAAAAATTCAGACCTCTCACACCACACCAACCAACCACCTTCCAGGGACAAAAAATCTATTGTTTAACCTGGTTGAAACATAGGGTACAGTGTTTGATTCATTCTTTGGTTAGTTTTCATTTGATTGTTTCTTATTCTGTATTTAATATTTTGGACCACAATGGAAATAAGTTTGCCAGTTCGATATTTTATTGTGTTTTATTATCATAAATTATTTTTGTATTCAGACTAAAGACAGTTCATTAAAGAGTACAGTGGTTAACACAAGTTTTAACCAACTACGCTACACTGCTCTTAATATACTGTCAATAACTTAACAACCCAGTCACAGCCCTAAACAATTAAACTCAATCTTACTGAGTTTGACCACAAATGATCTAGGTCTGTAGCAAACTGCTACATCATCTTACTACAAAATCACACATGTTAAGCCTCATACCCAGCTGTTAAACTCTTCAACCTAATTCATATTCCCAGAATTGTAGTTTCCACAACAGCTAAGTGGTTAAACTTGACAATGTTATTTAAGTCATCAAGTTGATGATTATTTAATAGTTTCTGTCATGTGATAGGGGCTTCCCCTCTACTATCACTGACTGAAAACTTTTCAACAGACTGAAAATTGATTAAATGTGTAACATTATTGACTTTAAATATTCAAAGTGCTAAAATAAGAGTGTATATGAAATTGAAAAATGAAAGAAAAATGAAACAACAAAAATGACAAACAACAATGATAATGAAACAAATGAAAATACAACACAAGCATACCAATTTAACTATTATAAAATAACAGTAGTTTCTATTTATTTAAATAATCAAAAACAAAGAGATGTAAGCCTGATTTATTTTATAAATTTATTTCTATTTCATTCTAGAGAAACATGACCAAAGGAGAGGCATCACAGTCACAACTACCATGACAACCATTTAAGCGAGAACATTTGACAACTTCATCAAAGAGAATCAGGATATGTGTTTAAATTAAATCAACACAGCTAATGAAAACCTGCTTGTGACAGAATGACTTCACATTCTACTTTGTAACACATAATCAAGTAACATTTCAGTGCCGGTCTATGGACATACTTCTACACAGCATCGTGATATTCCAAACAATGCAATAAAACATCAGATCATCAAATAAATCTATAATAGATATGTTGGGAGTGCTATTCAATAGTGGCAAAAGAGGTGGGGGTATTATTGAAACATTTTGTATTTGTATTTTTCTTTTTATTATTTCAATACATTGCATTGGTATTCAGATATACCTGTGTTTACATACCTTATCAATGGTTAACTGGTAGTTTGGCTTCAGTAAATGGACACTCCTGTCAACGGACGCAATGCATACACACGATCCTGGTGTGGACGTTATCGTGATGTCCACTTTCTTACTGGGGTAAGTCTCATTAACTGAAGATGTCACTGTAACCTAGGAAATTTAAGAACATCACAAATCACATAAGAATACAGTAGATACCAATTGTAATGTTAGTAGGGCTGTATTTAACATTAAATAACACGCACTTCATATAACAGGGCCAGGGGAGGCAACAATGGGGGAGAGCTGACCCCCATCAGGGAGAAAAACACATTTTGTCTGGGCAAAGAAAACCCCTAAACTTGTCATAGTTTCCTTGTGCTAAGCCCCCTGGATCACAACCACTTAATTTTCTTGTCAGAGTCCCTCATCCCCACCCCCATCGAGGACATCAGAGCCCTGTTTGCAAACACTGGCACCATCCCTGGACAGCGCATATTCAACAGTAGCATTTTAAGAAAAAAATTATGTTGTGTAGCGTATTATTGGAGAGAGGTGCTTATTCAATCTTTTTTACAAGTCGCATGTCTTTTCATGGCAAGGAAGCTGCTTTCTTTCATGAGACAAAAGTCACATACTGTAGTGTGAGTTGAACAGACAAAAATTAGATAATCTATGGTTGGATTTACACTTAAAAAAACTTTTTTTGTTTGGTTTTATATTGTATATACATGAACAAATTTTGTAATTGGACAGCAAACATTACAAAAAAAACTGTAGCATTAGATCATATTGAATAATTATTACAGGTATTCTTTTTATTAAATAATATAGTCTAAGTAAATCTAAAATTTAAATAAACCTTGTTTTGTAAACTGGGTTTAACTGGAATAGTAACAGTATCTGCTACACCCTCTCTGTCATCCTTCACTACATAGCCAACAAGCTGGAAGCTGGGGGTCATGGCATGGATCACCTCAATTTCAAAGGCTGCTTGGCATCCGAGGCTCAACATTGTGGAGTTGGTACCATCTGGAGGTCAATAATGGCTATTATAAGAATACTATATAAGAGTTTTTTTTTATCTTCACACCAACTACCAAAGATAAAAACCTTCAATTATAAGTTCAAATAAATATACTATATGGATATAACATGCACAAAAAATAGGTAAATAAAAATAAAGCAGCAAATATAATAATACATATATAAGCTCAAACATCCCATTCGACTTAATAATACTTAAATTGCAATACAGATCTTATTATATCACACAAAGGCTTATAGTTTGATACAGACCTTCTGAGCTGAATTCATCCATTAAACTTGGTTGGTAAAACAGTTGGCTGTTTGAGGTTACAATACGCCCTCTAGAAATGATGTCATAGTTCAATGTAAAATTACATGGCATTGTTGACGCGAGTCCAATTTGTGCCATGCCACCGACCTGTTGAAAAACAAAAGTCAATTAAGACATTACTTGATGATTACTATTAATATAATTAATTAACAGTTTTTAACCAATTATCTCCTTTGGCCCCCTGGATATTTGGACCATATTAAATTGAATAATTGAAATATAGTCAAGTATATATATATATTACAGTATAAGGAAATTAATAGTAATTATTGTCTGAAAATGGAATTCCAAATTTTTGACCTTTTGTTTATCTGCTTCAGTTAATTTTAGCCATTTCTTTGTTTCATTCATTTGTTATGTTTTAACATTGTTTTTGTCTGTTTAATCTAATAATTAAATCAAGCCAAAGCTGAAAGTAACACAATCTGTTTTTGATCTTTTCGACTCAACCTAGTATAAGCCAGGGGACATAGATTACTTGCCGGGGCATAGTCTGGTTTCGGCCTGGGGTGTGCCAAAATTTAGAATTTGGAAATAAATTACAAAAAAAACTTAATGGTTATTTTTAGTATTTTAACACACCTAATAGAAGTAACGGAGCGTTTTCCAAAAATGAAAAGGTCCACTGATTAATCTCAGATAAGATAGTATAAAACATACTCCAAGTATCTAAATGCACGCCATAGTGTTGGGATCTATCTTAATAGACGTAATTTGCCGGCATCGGGTGTCCCCAGCCAACACCCATGATTTGCTCATAAACAGTGCAAACTGGGTAACTAGGGCCGTTAGGCCAGGAAATTCCTAGTCCTATTTAATCTTACCTCAGCCTCACCATCATTCAGATTGCTAAGTAGGAGGTGACTTTTTGTGGGAGAGTACCAGCTGTAGACTGTTAGGTATTGTGAGTAGTATGTAAACTCATCTACCTGCTTGCCATCAATAGCTGTCACAACAGCCTGCAAATCAATGAAATGATTTTAATCATTATGATTATGAGATAATAATTATGCCAGAATCAAACCTCAAATCTGCAATTAACAGACTGAAGCTCCATGATACATAATTCCTAATATTTACATATTTTCTGCACTTCATTGTCAGCATAAAAAACTTACCATATCTTTCAATTTATTTTAATAAGCAACAAGAGCAAAAGACAAAAATGATCATTGATTGATCTGGTTGGTTGGTTGATTGAATGAATGATGATCATGGTCAATTGATTAAAATTGTAGAAGCAATTTGGTGTAGTGTGGGATGGTTTTATTTTATGGTTTCAATCCTTTGCTGTGCATTTCATTTGTGTCCTGGGGCAACGCATTTTGTTTACACTGCTTCTTTCCAACCAGGAATAAAAATGGATACCTGGTGGAGTTGCCTGCTACTGTGCTGATTACAGCAGAAACACTAACAATGTTGACTCAATGACCTGATGCGCTATATAAATAAAATAAATAAATAAATAAATGATATATATATAAACTCACATCAAGCCAAAGCATCTGAGTTGAAATCTCAACCACTGGAATCTCAAAGGAAATAGCGCCATCCCTTGAGACAAATTCTTTGTTGTAAGTATTCAGCTCTTGAGTGGCTGTTGTTTTTACCCTAACCGTCACCCCGTCAGCCGGTGAGCCATCTGGGTATGTGACTAAGATCTGAAAGTAAGTGCAGGGCCAAAAATATTACTGGTGTTTACCAATATGTTGAATGTTACGAAATACATTGAAAACAATGAACATTTTATTTTCTATAGTATACAGAATTCATTGGATAAAAGAAACATAATGTCTTAAATCACCCTTTATTATAATTTCATAAACAATATGTAGTTCAGTTGTTATTTTAGTTCAGTTTCTTTTATTTAAATCAAAATCACAGCCACGGCTAAATTATATGATATTTACACAAAAAAAAGTAGGCAAATATTAAATCATCAAAACATCAATCAAACACAAGCACAAGATATATATGACTATACCAGCACTGCTGAGGTTAAAATCAAAAGACAGCAATTGTAATATACTGTATCAATATAGTAATATACTGTAAGAATTTTAAAAGTAGGGCATTTTGGACCTTGTGTCATTAGTCAACTGTATTATTACATAATACTGGGCAAGAAACCAATAAAATTAGACACAAAAAATAAACAAATATAGGCAAAAAAGGAATGAAGAAAGTATGTTATCTGATTTAGCCAGAGGTGAAAAGACAAATTGCTTAATCACGAAAGTATCACGCACAATTGTTAAATAATCATCAGATTAGCTACAGTTGGTTATGATTACTTAAGTTAACAGTTTCGCAGACAACAGTTCCTGATCGGCATCTGCTCCTTGTAGAAGGTAGGCCTTTTATTACCTCCACATCACAATTAATTAGTGATATATTAGGAGGTCTAATGGATTTTAAACAAGAGGTTAGCAGACAGGCCCTGAATCAAAACAAGGAGTTTCCTTTTAGCAGACAATATTTCCTGAGCTACGTCAAAATAGTTCACTTTTTCAATCAAGCTGTGGCATACTCCTCCCAATAATATAATCGTTCCTTTCTCTAATGACAGCAGTTTCCTTCATGCAATCATTTAATTCTTCCCATACTTGTTTGCATCATATTTGGCCCTCTGGTCAGTAACCCATGCCAATGTCATCTAGTTATAGTCACTGTATATCTATTTATACAATAATAAGCAATTAGTAGAGCTCCGCATAGTACACTATAGGAAAATTATTATACTAGGTTTTGATTTAATGCTTGAAAACATTTTTGAATACATTAAATCTTACCTAAGTATAATAATTTTCCACTAGTGTACGATGCATGCTCTACTAATTGCTTTATAGTCAATCGCCATTAAGTTTTAATGTTAGTTTCTATAACCAACTGTGTTGTACCAGTCATCGTCATCAGTATACTGTGTGCGTATTTATATTTTGTGTGCATATGCTGATTTGTGCTCCTGCAGTAGGCAGCGCCTACGCGTTAACTACACATCAGCAGTACTGTACGGATACGATTAATAACTAGGCCTAGGCTATTTTGTATTATGTTTGAAGAACTTGTTTGTAATTTTTCACATTCGTCAAAGAAATAAACATTTTTCAAAGCATTCGAGAGGGAATACAGTCACTGTCACTAACTTTGAAACAGGTAAAAATCTTGGAATGATTTTATAACTATGCTAGGCTATATGGCCTAGGCTAGTAGTAGGAGGAGGCCGCGGCTCTACATCTAATTTCGTTCCTTGAGTAAAATAGGTCTAGAATATTCCTATTAAACTTTCAGTTTGTTTAGATTATTATAGTTCATTGATTTAATGAATTGCTTAATTGTTCATACTTAATATTGAATTTAAAGTAACTTTCTTCGGGTTCTAATTAACCTTGTTTTACAAAAGTAATTTTCAATTACAATTCAATTTTTATCGCGGTGCACGATGTCGAAAAAATGAGGAATTTTTTTTTGCACACAAACCTAAAAAAATCAAGCCAGGCGTCCACTAATAGAAAAATTAGTGGACGGTGGGGAATAGGCAAATAACATAGGGAGTTGCAGTGATGACGTCACGATTGAATTATAAAGGTGATTAGCTAGATTGACTGAATGATTTATCAATCGATACATGAATTTTATGGGCCTCTTTGGAATCATAGTAAATAGAGGTTTAATAAGAATAATGGATCTTTTGGTTTAAATGTTTTACTCTGCCTGGTTCATTGACATCAAAACAGCGAATATCATTGTCTGCAATAATCATGAATATACTTATGACTATGATGACGATGGTGACACTGATAACAATGACAATGATGATGATGATAATAAGTATATTGATAATGATGATAATAATAACAACAAACTAGAGCAGTCACTCCTTAGAGTGCATACCTCTGCCCTGTGCCTGGATAACAAACAATATGCAGAATGTGTACGGGCAATTTCATTATTCACATTCACAGAAAAAAATTGAAGTTCCATGACTTACCCAAAAGTTAATAACTATTTCTTAGATTATTATACACCATTCCACTTAATTTTATGATTTATTCATTGGTTTTTCGTAATCTTGCTTACAGACAGACAGACAGAAAGACAGGCGAATACATAACCTCCTTGGTGAAGGTAATAATGTAGTTTATTACACAAAATATTAATATAAACTATCAGTTTAAAAATGAACATTGCATATGCATACCTTGCCTTTGAATGGTAAGCCTGGTTTGAAGTGTTGCTTTGTGTCTTCAGAAAACTTGATATGAACCAACTGCTGCTTGTAGACTGGACAAGATTCATCAATAACTGAAAAAGTGTTACCATCGGAAGCAACCACCTTGGCTTCGATATGAAGCACACCACGGAAATAGTCGCCATACAGACCATCAATATGCTTGGCCGGACAAACACGTACAGTTGCTGTACCATGAATCTGTGTGGAACAAACAGATGGTGATAAAATAAACACAAACACTATATTAACTGATGATAGAAAATTGAAAATTATACAGCAACACTTTGATAAATAAACAATATTTAAAAATTCGGAAATAACCTTAAAGGAAATCTATTTTTTCACAAAAGGTATTCTTTTGTCCTCATACAGAAAGCAATTCTTGCCAATTCATTTTTCAAGATTCCTTTGCATACATCATTTTATAATAAATTGTTGACATAAACTTGGCATACATTGATACCAAAACCTTGGCGCACTTACGTTCACGGTATCCTCTTTGGGATAGCCCCTGCGGTCTTCAAAATAGCCAACACCATGTATATTACTGGTTACCAACAACTTGCCATGGACTGGTTGTCCATACACATAACTGGGTAATGACGGAAAGTGTGTAAAACATTGTTAAAATCTTTAACTACTAAATTATTGCAAACAAAATACATGCAATTCTTTAACGTCTATCATTCTATTACAGTATTAAAATGCTGTCTGAACTAATAACAGGATGTTTAAAAGGATATGGTTGAATGACCAGGAATACCCCAGACAGGGAAATCATCTTTAGACAGCTTAATTACATTACACGTAATAGACAAGTGGAAATAAACATCTTGGGTGTATCAAGGTTTCCAAAGATAATTAACAATTTCAGTTTCAAAATTTCCTTACATTTTGTATAATAGCTTTTTTACCACTGTACTGTGTCTATTTGTAAGGCAACTACCACAAACAATTTCTTGTTTTTATATTCTACTGCAGACTTGATCATTCTTCTTTGATACAAAATTTCACAAACAAAATATTATTCCTAAAATACCTAAGACATTGTTATTAGGAAGTAATGAGATTGAATCTTTAAAAAAGGAATGAGGTATACTTGATTGTAATTTTATTGTTTCAACAAGTTTTTCAGAGGGAGTACCTAGGCCCAGATTTTTTTCCAGGGGTGGTCTGCCCTTTTTAAGACATCTGCATATCAAGAAGATACAATTTAGAATCCTGTACGACTGATCTTCTCTCAATCACATGTTTTTTTTTCAATTTTGTTTTTGCATTATGAATGACTTTGTTCATAACAGGATATTGCTATATTGATTTCAAAATTAAATCCTGTGACAACTTTTCACACCATCAAGATAATTCTCAATCAACAAAAATACATACTGATGAATGGCTCTGGCCAGCAAACTTTAAAAATTCCAACTTAATTCAAAACGGAAGGAATCAATTAAAGTAATTAGAAATTTGACAATGGTGATGTCAAAATATCCTGTAAAAGGACATTCAGGCAGAATCCTGCATGTCTTGCAAATATCTCAAAGCTTTACTCACAATTAAAAACAATATCTATAAAATATTAAAATAATAAATAGAAATTGTTTTAATTGATCAAATATTTGGAGCCAAAGTAGGAACTTCTGAAAGTGCTCAATTCCAGTGTTTAATCTTTCTTAGTCTAAGTACTGTAATTTATATTTCAACATAGAGTATTTCCAAAAATATCTCTAGAAAAAAAGTTAAAGAGGTCAATACTACCAGGGGGTTAATCTTAACAAATCTTTCCTAGAATGAGACAGCAAACGTAATATTTCATCATAATGAAGTTACCATATTTTTAAGCAACTTCTAGTACAATGAAGTAATAATAAAAAGAAAATTATTTTTTTCTGGTACTATACTATGCATTAAATTGTCTCTTTCACTAGCTAATCTACATATTAGAAATGTCCATAGCAACAAAACAGTGATGACGAGTGAACAGGCCACATCCTCCCCCCCCCCCCCCCAGTGGTGTATCTATTGGGAAGAATTTGTTTCCGCAACAGGCAGACAGGAATTGAACAAAGGATCATAGGATTGGAAGGCAAACAACTTAATGACCAAGCTATTTAACTCTGCTGCATCATGAGGTTAACTCACCTTGCACTGATAACGACTGAATGGCAGTCATCAAATCCAACAATGTATTTTGGTGGGTATACTTCAATGTGAAATCGAGGCAACACTAGTGTAAATGAAATAGTCTTTAAATAAGTAAATGTAAATCTATAATTAATGTACATGATTGAGACATACATTCATGTTTAATACTAGGGAGAAAACAGCTTAAATCATAATAAAAACAGAGAGATGGTAGAATGAACAGATTGATAGACAGACACGTAAAGAATATTAGTGACAAGAAGAAATGCGGATGGATGGATGGCACACATATAGCAAAAGAAAAACACAGATAGACATTGATACAATTTTTCTTAATATCAATTTAAAAGATGTTTGGTGCAATTTAAAATCAATATTAAGTGATGTAAACAATAAGAGATACATACACACATACAGATAGAAGAATACATACTGTACACTAACAGATCAACAGATTAACAAAATTAGAAATATGCATAGATGACATTTTAATTAACAGATACAAAGACAGAAAGGCAGATAAAAAAAAAGAAGGGGAGGTATGATGACAAAGCATACAATGATCGAAAGACTAACAGATGAACAGACGTATACTACAGAGAGACATAAAACAAACAACTGCTTAGAAGCACTAAAAGATACTTGTAAACAAAAATCCTTTTACCATATTCTTGGACATCGAAACTAATGTTGTAAGTTTGACCTTGAACTTTGGCATAAATAAACCATTCACCCAGCACTGGTTGATCAGATATTGGAAACGTAAAATTCACTACTCCTGAAATTGTACAGAAACAATTAATGTTTTTTGTTTTATTCAGAAATGAATACGAGGTCGAGATGACTTATGCTGCGTTCATTAGAACTTGAGAAAACTGATTTCACAACTTGTAACATGCGAGTACACAAGAAGAGTGCATTCATTTGACGAACGCTAAATGGCTGCTGTCACTCTTGCAATGTGTTCAAAAATAAAACATACAAAAAAACTTCTTTTTTTTAATCTGAAATAATATTACTTAAACAAATTTCAATAAATATGTTGAGTTGCAAATAAAACATACAAACAAAACTCTTTTTTTATCTGAAATACTATTACTTAATAAAAAAATTGCAATAAATACCTATGCTCGTTGTGCATAGTTTGTATTACATCCGCCATTTTCCACACTACTTGTGCAAATCGAGGAAGAAAATTCTACTTGAGTTCACAACTTGTGTTTACAAGTTCACTAACGAGATGAATGCGTTTCACAAGTTGTGAACTGGGAAACACCGACTTCACAAGTTCTAATGAATGCAGCATAAACATGATATAATGATATATTAAAATCACAATAAACCGACCCACACGAGACACTTTCAACAATATCACCTGAATGTATAAATGATGAAAGATAAATAACAAAGTAAAAATAAAAATATTGTCTATAACATTAATATTGGAAAACCATTGCACTGCAAAAGGATAGTGGTGGTTATAGCATATAGCCAGAAAGGCTAAGCTGTCTGACATGTGGTCTGAAAATATATACGGCAGAGGCCAGTGAGATTCAAAGCCTCTTATGACTACAGAAACCTGCACTGAGATATTTTAAACTGTATTATGCTCAAAGATATTTTTTATTTATTTATTATACTTTCGTATTTTTTGGTCTGACAAGTTGTGGCTGACAAGGAGGCTTTGCCTGTCCGACAGGAGTTTAATAAAATAAATCAATTTTTTTATATTATGTTTAATAATAAATAGCAAATGTATGCAACTTACCGCAACACATTGGTTTTACATTATCCCACTGTATCATCCGTGACCCTTGAGGGTCAACAACATAAGCAAAAATCTGGAGAATTAAAATTAAAATAAAACATTGAAAATGTATATTCTACAAAATAATGTTATGTGCAGTTGGAAAGTGTAATTTAATTTAAGTGTAGCAAGTTTAGTTAAGTCAAGTCATCCCACCCTTCCAATGGCATATCTAAGGGAGATGTATACCACCCAAGAGAAAGTTAGCAATTCCATCCTCCTTCTC